TGGGCACAAAGGCCTCATTGAATGTATGCCCAAGATCTGTGTATTGTATATTCATATCTGATAAATATATACAAGTTGCCTTTGTCTAGAGTGTTGTTTCCATGTCCTAATTCTTTACTTGTGGTTTTTGGGGGGTGGGGGAATTTGATGATAATGTTACATATTTGTGGGGTGGTAATGGATTAGAGGTTAAGAACCACTGAGCTGAAGAAGTGTGCTTTGCACACGCAAGCTTACACTCTGAATAAAACTTTGTGGGTCTTAAAGGTGCCACTGGACTCAAACTTTGTTCTGAGCTAAGCCGCGTAAGGGAAAGCTTCCGTTTGTACTTAAGTATCTGCTGCGTCCTGCCATCTTGATCCCCTCCGTAAAATGTGACACTCTCAGTACAACGGAGAAGCAAGTGACAGGATAACCTTCTTCCACGTTGCTTTCTGTTGTCCCACCCTTTGATCAGACTAAGCAGCAGGGGCACATTGGGTGGACAACAGGGATACTTTTAAAATTCCCACTATGCCTGTGAGCTGTGGTTGGGGCTACACCAGGGAGTCCAAGCAGGGGTGGGTCTTGGTGATTCTGCGGCCCTGGGCAAAACTCCAGGACGGGACCCCAGAATTACTGCCACCCCAGTGCCAGTTAAGGGATGGTCCTCACCCTGGGCAAGGTGGGCAGAAGCTGCTGCCACCAGAAGCCAGCTGCTCAAGTCCCAGAAGGGGTCAGCATGAATGGCAGCAGTACTCCACTCTTCTTCTCTCCGCCCCTCCCAATCATGTCAATACCGGTACTAGATCAAGCCAGACGGCAGAGCAGGGAGTGAATCCAACACAGTGGCATTTCCCCCCCAAAGTAGGTTTCAGCCCTCCTTTTAACTCCCCACCATATTCACACACACACACAGTCTCGAAGTCACTGCCATTTGTCACTGGAAGAGGCATTATGTCCAATATATTGTTTCTGCTGGCACAAAAGCCCCACAGGTTGGCCCTTCCTACGATTAGCTGCGTGGCCAGATGCCCACACGGATCAGCTTCCTAGCAGCCAGCACGCGACTGCTGTTAAATACTCATGAAGCAGCCGTAAGTCACCCTTAAGTCAGGATACTCACAATCATAAAGACAAATGCGATGGTCATGAGCAGGTTAGCAACAGCTACCACACTCTGCCCCGTGGCGATAGCCAGTGCCATCGATGTGGCTGTATAAGACACCATCATTAGGGTGAACATCATGATGAAGAACGCCTCTACTGTTTGCTTGAAACCTTGAAGAACGAGGAAAAGAAGGAAGGGGGTCTTTGTATCGCCTGTTAAATATTTGCAGTTATTCCACTGAGAACACATTGCATTTTTATTTTTAATCATTCCCGTTCATATGCTGCAGTAGCAGCAGCCCTGGGGGGTAGTTTGCTATTCCTCCTGCGTTAGAGAAAAACTGTCCCAAGTGAGTTCAGTCTCATGTGAGTTCAGTTGCGGGGAGAGCAGTATAAAAATTTAAATCATCATCATCATTTCGTGTTCTTGAGATTTGTTCCACCTGGGACAAGACTCGGGGCAAGGCCTTGGGTCTCCAGCAACGCTTTGCCTGCTCTGCTTACTACAGGAGGAATGCTCACAACCCAGCTGGAAGATTCCACAGGCAAATAAGCACAGAATCCTCTGGTCTCGTCATTCCCTTTTAGTTGTGGTGAGGGGAGGGCGTGTGCAAACTCTAGGCCCGCTCTTAACTCACCAGGGTTGCAGCCGTGTCAAATAATGCTGACATAAACCCAATTAGGAATTTTAACTTGGATCTCTTAGGTCCACGTTTTACCCACAGCTGTGCCTGTCGTCTACTTGCCTAACATGAAGTAAATTATGCATGTGAAAATGATGCTTGGTATAGTCCTCATGGGTATCAAGTCAGCCATTAGCTTTGAGAAGAAATATGCAGACGTTCTGTAATACCCACTGATGTATTCGTGTCTGCAATAAAATAACAGAATAAGGTGAGTCAGTTCTAACTAAGCAAATCGTTTTGCACACAGGAACCATTAGGGTAAGTTGTAAGGAATGTATCAAGTCACGTGACATTATTGTGATCAGAATAAATGCATCTGCAAACAGTGCATACACCCATTCTGTCTTTCATGAGTATATTGTGGCATAAACTAAAATGTTTTTAAAGTAATGTGTCTGAAGAGGTCCTCCACACAGGAAAATCTGGTTGCAAATGATTACTATACCGCATTAAGTGCATTTATCCAAATCCAGCACAAGAAAATCTGGTTGCAAATTATTGCTTTAGTGCTTTATCCAACAACCTATGAAAGCAGCCTCTAACTTTTTACTCCTAGATGCAATGGTTTTACTATTGACTGTTAGGCTTTATCTTTAAGCTCAACTCTTCTGCCTGCCTTCTGATCTTTTGAGATCTGTCCTGTTGCTAGTCACTGGTCTTCTCTCTTTTTTTAAGTTTTGTTTTACAATATTCTGGTTTTTAAAAAAAAATTAATTCTTATGTTGTACGCTGCTTTGAGTGTTACCTTTTGACGGGTACCAGTTGCCTAAACAAACAACATTCAACTTACATAAATATCTTTTTCTCCACAACAAAGAGTTCAATGGCAGAGATGCTGCTGAAACACTGGTTGGTGGTCACAAAGAACATGGCACCAATTCTACAGAGGAAAAATAAAACAAAACAAAGATTGGTGTCATGTAAATCAGTTAAGCAGGATCAAAACCATTAAGGAAATTAGGTAGTGCCTGCTGGCAACCATTTCCCTCTTTAACCCCCCACTTCTTTAACCGAGGGAACAATCCTGCCCTTCCTTCCCCTCCTCTGCTCTTCCTCGGCCACTTGGCTCCCCCATTAGCCCAGTTCCCACCCACCCCCACTTCCGCATCCTCCCAACTGCGCTGCACAAAGGCTTTTGTAAGGCTCAAGCAGGCATGGGATTGGAGACCAGCTTGTGAGCCTGAGGTTTCAAATGGCCTTCTGGGTAGCCCAGATCTCTAAGAGCCATCCAAACTTTCTTCTTAATACTAATTTTACGTGAGAAGTGGGTTGGAAGCTTGGACAGAGCTACGGGTTGTATCCACTGGCTCCCCTTCTGATGAGTTACAGCCACTAAAACTTCACCCAACAGGAGTCTGGTTAGTGGAAGGGAGTCTTTGCATCCACTTGGGCTGAAGAGAATAATTACATGCAACTCTGCATGGCCACAGCTGCACAGAATCTTGCTATCCCACTCCCACTGGAAAGACTGAACCAGAGGCAGTTTGGTGTAGTGGTTAAGTGTGCAGACTCTAATCTGAGAGAACCAGGTTTGATTCCCCACTCCTCCACTTGCAGCTGCTGGATGACCTTGGGCAAGCCGTAGTTCTGACAAGAGCTGTCCTTGAAAGGACAGTTCTGGAAAGAGCTCTCTCAGCCCTACCTACCTCACAGGGTGTCTGTTGTGGGGAGGGGAAGGAAAGGGAGTTTGTAAGCCGCTCTGAGACTCCAAGTGAAGGGCGGGATACAAATCCAATCTCCTCCTCCTCTTCTTCTTAAATCAAAGTGCCCTGATTCTAACTGCTAGATTTGAGTCTGGTAGCGACTTAGAGACCAGCAGGATTATCAGGGTATGAGCTTTTGAGAGCCAATGTTCCCTTCCACTCTCAAAAACTCATACCTGACAACCTTGTCAGTCTCCGTGGCACTACTGGACTCCCAGCAAGCCCTTCTGCAGCAGTCCCACATGGCTACCCTCCTGAGACTGATTAATACTGCTTGGGGATGCATGAAGCCTGCTGATTATTTCTGAGCTCGGTGCAAAGACGAAGAGCACTCACAATGACAGCGCCATCCACAGACCAGTTAAGACAGTTTCACTGTACTGATGTCAACTAGATTAACAGAATGTAACTGCTCAGGATTCTGGACTCCCGTGTGGAATCCTAGATGGGGTGTTCACAGAGGAGGGGCAGGATAGGCCAGGGCAGGGGCTCACCTGCCGTGATTTTTGGTCCCCCACTGGAAAAGATTTTCCCCACTCCTTCCCTTTCATATATAGGCCCCTGATATAGCAATTTATCCACTAGCTAGTCATTCTGGGGGTGGGGGAAGGGTTTTTAACATACATACACACACTAGGGTTGCCAGTCCCCAGGCCCTGATGGGGGTTCCCCGCCTCCAAACAGTGACATCACTGCATGATGTCCCTGACGTGATGACATCACCCAGAAGTGATGTTATCATGTCAGGGGCGTCGTACAGCAATGCTCTAAATTGAGGGCAGAACTCTATGGTTTGAAGCCGGTTTCCCCATAGAATTTTGTCCTCAAACCAGAGCACTGCCCCACAATGTCCCTGCGATGATGATGTCACTTAGGGGTGACATCATCATGTCGGGGACATCCCAGAATGCCCCCACATCCCCCCACTGGGACGACAAGGGGACCTGGCAACCCTAACACACACACCTGAGTGTGTGTATATATATGTATATGTATGTGTGTGTATCTATGTACATGTATATGTGTGTGTGTGTATCTATATGTGTGTGTGTATCTATTTATATGTGTGTGTCTCTATATCTAAGCTATAGCTATACTGCTGGTAGAGAAACCATGAATTGCCTACCCTGGAGGACTGCCAACTTTTGATTTAAAAAAATAAATGCCAGCCCCCGGGGAAGGGCTAGGTGGTGAAGCCAAGGGGGAACACGGAAGGTTAAGAGGAGGCAGGACAAAGATCTGGCGCACTGGGGGTGACTGACCTGTTCTGCAAGCCGCTAGCATCATTTTTCACCCCAAAGAATATGGCGCCTACGACCAATCCCAGGAAAATGGTCACACACAGCTGAAAAACAAATGATCCCATGTACTATCCAGTGGCATCGCTCTACAGCAAAACAGTGCAAAGGCAAAACAGTGCATAGCTATCAGCTATGGACAAATAACCACGTCAGTGGGGGACTAAGACTGCTAACTCTGGGTTGGGAAATTCCTGGAGATTTGGTGGCAAAGCCTGGGGAGGGGCAAGGTTTGGGGAGAGGCAGGACCTCAGTGAAGACTAATGTCATCAGTTCCACCCTCCAAAGCAGCCATTTTCTCTAGGGTACCCAATCTCTGTAGCCCAGAGATCAGCTGTGATTCCTGGAGATCTCCAGCTCCCACCTGGAGGCTGGCAACTCTCGTGGGTACTAGTGCCTTTTTAAAAATCCCAGCTACTATTGCAGTTTAAGAAGGAAACGCCTGGGACTATCGACCAACTACCACCAACACCCACACAGGCTTTCTGCTATGATGCCCACCTGCTTCTTCCCTAAAATGCCAAATCCCAACAAGCCAATCCCAACTTTCTATCACCTCACTGGAGTATTAGCCTCCAGGAGATATTACTTTTGGATTTGCCGGGACTGCCCATCACACAGGGCTCTTTTTGTAGCAGGAACTCCTTTGCATATTAGGCGACACACCCCTAATGTAGCTAATCCTCCAAGAGCTTGCAGAGCTCTTCTTACAGGGGCTACTGTAAGCTCTTGGAGGATTGGCTACATTAGGGTGTGTCGCCTAATATGCAAAGGAGTTCCTGCTACAAAAAGAGCCCTGCGACACCATGGGAAGATTTGCTTGGCTTGAAATCTCCTGACATTTTATAATTGGTCTCCCATGGAAACCATTTTGTGATTCGTCCCGCCTACCACGGCAGCCATTTTGTAACTGACCTCCCACTATACTTTCTCAAAATTCCGAAAGCGTCCACAGCCTTAATATGACTCGGAACCTCTGTTGTAGGCAGTAGTTTTGAATTGTTCGATGGCAGAAGGGTGGTACATAAGTGTACAAACAAATAAAGCAGCCAGAATAACAGTCGGTTTCCTAATATAGTCAAGAGCAGCTGAGACGGCATGTTAAGAATTACGCAGAAATGTTTAAAATTGCAGCCAAGATGATGGTGTCAGACAGCCGAGTCTTTTTCCCCACCGCTGTTCAAAGGAGGAGAAAGCCTTGAACCTTAACATTAAAGAGCACTTCACACATGGTACCACACTGCTAAGAACCTGCCGAAAGGACCAAATGTCAGGGATAATCCAGCCGCTAAGCCAATTGCAGTGGGAAGCGAGGATCATATCAAGACCAATTTGAGAAGATTAGCACAGAAGAAGAAATGAACTGTGGGCCACTTAGAGTCCGCAATTTCAAATCTGTTCCTAATGACACTAGGGAGATCAAAACGATTGAGGGAAAGAAATTAAGTCAGGGCCCTTAACCCTAGAAGATTATAAAGTTCTGAAAGGCCATAATTCTTGTCACAAGGTCAAGCTTTTACAAAGCAATTATTATGGATCTCCATAATATCAACATACACAGAGAATCAAAGTGTTTAAACGTCAGCACTCTGAGGAGATTTTCCTGTGGAGAAGAAAGATTTAACAAGATGGCAGCTATATTGAACGATACGTTCGATAGGGTTCGTTCCCTTCTCTCTTTAATAATTATTTAATTAATAATAAATGACACAAACATTAAGAACATGAAGAGAAGAATATTAGTAAATAATAGCATTAAAATAAATATTAGCTCAGAATGGATGGGTCTCATTTCTCACGGCATAATGAGAGATGCAAGACATCTGAACACTTAAGAGAGGCAGGAGGCCTCTTAGCCCTTTCCTTTCTCTCCACATCTTTTTCTTCCCAGCCGGCATTCCCAGCTGCCAGGGCTGAGGAGAAAGCAGCTGAGGAAAGAGAATGAGGGAAGAAAGCGATATGAAGGGAAATGTTAAGCCAGTGGTTCTCCAGCTGTGGTGGAGTCAGAGTGAAAAAGGTATCATGGGACTCTCTCAGGTAAGTCTCAAGGCTAGGAGGCAGGAGGAGACATTGAACGAGCTGGGAGAGGAAGCTGCATTGGGCTTGAGGGGAAATTTGGCTCGCTCTCTCTCGCTCTCTCTCTTGCCATCACGTCACAGCTGATTTATGGCAACCCCTGGTGGAGTTTTCAAGGCAAGAGATGTTCAGAGGTGGTTTGCCATTGCTGGCCTCCGTGTTGCAACCTTAGTTCCCTTGGTGGTCTCCCATCCAAACACTGACCAAAGCCAGTTTGGTGTAGAGGTTAAGAGTGACAGACTCTAATCTGGAGAACTGGGTTTGATTCCTCACTCCTCCACATGCAGCCAGCTGGGTGACCTTGGGTCAGTCACAGTTCTCTCAGAGCTGTTCTCTCAAGAGCAATTCTCTCAGAGCTCTCTCAGCCCCACCTACCTCACAGGGTGTCTGTTGTGGGGAGAGGAAGGGAAGGAGATTGTAAGCTGCTCTGAAACTCCTTAGGGTAGTGAACAGTGGGGTACAAAACCAACTCTTCTTCTTCTTCAAGGCCAATGCTGCTTAGCTTCCAAGATCTGACAAGTTTGGGTTACCCTGGTCTAACCAGGCCAGGGCTGAAATGTCGGTCTAGTTTTGCATAAAAGGCAAAATTGCCATGAAATGTAAACTGTTTCTCATTAATGCCCAGAAACGTGCATGTTTCAAGTTAAGGTTACCTGTGCTATGGAGGCTTGTGGGTTGCCTATCAGGTTTTTGAAGGTGCGTTTGGAGACCCATTTGAGCTGGTGGAAGAAGGATGTGGAATACGTAATTTGTCTGAAAGCAACAGTCTTGCGTTGGCTCCCCAGTGACAGCTTCTCTAATTCTGCTTTGGTTTCTTGGTAATAAGCAGAATTGGAATACTCCTCTGCTAGTCTCTCTGCCAGCGTCCTGTCACGGCTGATGTGTTCTTCGACACTGTCTTGAAAGCACAGACAGGAGAAAAATGCAGAACAAAGTCTGAGTCCAGTGGCGCCTTTAAGACCAACAGAGTTTTATTCAAAGTGTAAGCTTTCGTGCGCAAAACACACTTCTTCAGATAAAACGGGAATAAAATCTCAAAAGCTAATTACAGGAGAAAAGAGGGCGGGGGTACACTCATAGACCCCACAGTGAACAAAGCGTCAGACTTTGAATCCCCACTCTACCATGGAAGTTCATTGTGCCAGTTCGCAGAATCCAGTTAATTTTTGAAGAAATTACCAAATGTGTTTCTGCTCTTTTGCTCCACGGTGCTTCAAAACAAAAGACACACATTAAAATGGAGTATGACTTCCACTGTCATTAGGCATCCAGTGTTTGCAAAACTATCACATCAACGTTCACATTCATTTAGCTTTATTCAACACCTCTCTTTTCAGTAATACTGTCATTTAAACAAATTAAAGCATGCGTACGTATTTGGTTAGCAGAATTCTTTTACCATCCAGGATCCAATCTCATTGGTGAGTTTTGTTTCACTTTTAAATAGCCACGCTCAGTAATAATTAATTATCATATGGCATTGTGTGTGGAATAGCCAGGAGGTCCTAAGACTGTCTGGCAGCCAGAAGTTCTAGCTCCTTTAGTGTTATGCACCACTAGGTGTTGGGCTAGGCTTGTTTTTAAGGGCAAGAGACGTTTCAGAGGCGGCTTGCCATTGCTTGCCTCTGCATCACGGCCCTGGTATTCCTTGGAGGTCGCCTTTTCAAATACTAGCCAAGGCGGACCCTGCTTAGCTTCCAAGATCTGATGGGATCGGGCTAGCTTGGGCTATCCATAGCCACTCTCAGTAGTATAGCAAGATACAAGGACAGTAGCACCTTAAACACCAACAAGATTTCCAGAGGTCTAAGCTTTTGAGAGTCAACGCTCCTTTTATCTCTTGGATGTATTGGATGAAGGCAGCTTTGACTCTCAAAAGCTTAGGCCTTTGGAAATCTTGGCTGAGGAGAACCTCCACATCCAAAGCCTCTAAATCCAGAGCCAGGCGGCAACATCAGGGGAAGGCCTCGGCTGTCCAGACGAACTGGTTAGCCACTGTGTGGCAGGTCTGATCCAGCAGTCAGATCCAGTAGGTCTGATCCAGCAGGGCTCTTCTTATTTTCTTATGTTCAGGCTATGTGAGCAGCCCAAGTTCATTCAGCAACCTTTCATGGTAGTCTGGGGATTCGAACTACTATAACAAATTGGTTTTCTAGGTCCTTTCTAGCACAATCAGAATATATTATGCAAACTGAGATAAACTATGGACGCGTGAATTGTAAAATGCAACTTTTAATAGCACAATCAGAATATATTATGCAAACTAAGATAAACTACGTTGTAAAATGCAACTTTTTATGACACAGAATCTAAATTATGCTAGCACGTTTTAACTCTTGTTTGAACTGTGGATGCTTTGGCTCCAATACATCAGCACCAGGGAAAGCCCTTAGGCAGGCTGTGTAGTGGTTGTACAACTAGAGGGTGCAATTTCTGGCATCCTGCTCTGCAGTATACAGCGAAATGGTTTCTGTTAACCTAATATCACCAGGAGTGATTTCTCTATGACAGAGCTGACCAATGTGAAACTTACCCATCCATATTGTACACCAGTTGAGTGACCTTAAAAAGCAAAGGGAACAATGACGCAGTAGCAGTTAGAGTGACCTGGATCCAAGTCCTCACTCAACCATGAAGCTTGTTAGAGGACCTTGGGCCTACCTCACAGGGTTGTTGTAGAGAAGAAAATGGGTAAAGAGCCATGCACATTGCCCTGAGCTCTTAGAGGAAGGATAAAAATGAAAGACATGTTCTGCATACCTATGTCTATTTCAGTCTTGTTCAAAGCCACAGCTGTCGAGTCTCCATTAATGACATCCAGAAAGAAATCAGCAGGGTTGTTGTATGGTTCACACTCATAACCTACAAGGAAAAAAGTTCTCCCAGATCACTGAAGTGTAGAGAAAAATAGTATTGACAAGCACTTAGGATAATGCCACTAAAAATCTACTTATTAAAAAAAACAGGCTTCAATTAACCATGTTCTTGTTGCAGTACATGAATTATCTCACGTCTAACGACATCGCTGTAATTGCAAAATTAGCACACTGATGACATGACACTTTGGATAAGGGCAGCTGTGTGCCTCATCTGCAGGCCAAACATGGCATGGGACTGGATGTTTTGGATCACATGGGCACACCAAAAGTCATTGTCCTCATCTTCTTAATGCTGGAGACTTGCCCAGAACAAGAGTCTGAGCATCTTCTGGAAGCCACGTGAAGGCCAATTCAGATGTCGAGGTTAATTATGTGATACAGTCCTCCTCAGACAGGAACACTTAACAGAAATAGTCAAGGAGAACCCCTGCTGGATCAGATCAAGGGTCCTTTTAGCCCAGGATCCTCTCTCTAGCAGGGGCTAGTCCAGAGTCCCTGGGAAGTCTACAAGGTGGGCATGAGCTTGGGTTAAATATCAAAGAGATACACTACCGTACCTATTACTTAAAGTAAAGGTAAAGGTTCCCTTGCTCGAAAGCCAGTCAAGTCCGACTCTAGGGTTGCGGTGCTCATCTCCATTTCAAAGCCAAAGAGCCAGTGCTGTCCAAAGACGTTTCCGTGGTCATGTGGCCGGCATGACTAAACACCAAGGCGCACAGAACGCTGTTCCTTATTACTTATTATATTCATATTATTATTATTACTATTACTTAGGGGGAACTAAAACACATAATCTCTACCCCGTGCCTGCAATCTGATGTCGCATGCCTACAGATTATTTGACCTGCCTCAAAAAAAAAAATCTGTGTCTAGGTTCATTGATCACTACAGTTAAAAGATCATATTGGAGCAGTGTTTTTAACTGGACTATTCATCTCATTTGAGCTGGCTCCCCGTGACATGTTTTCATATCAGCCTCACAGCTGTGATCCTGCACACCTACCATTAATTTAATTGGAGCATGCAGAAGAATTTCTTTGTGTTCTGAACCCATTGCTTGCTACTAGCCCTGAGCCCTGGGGATGGAGTAGGAAAGCATCTATCTATCTATCTATCTATCTATCTATCTATCTATCTATCTATCTCCTATCTACCTATCTACCTATCTATCTCCTATCTACCTATCTATCTCCTATCTACCAACCATCTATCTCCTATCTACCAACCATCTATCTCCTATCTACCAACCATCTATCTCCTATCTACCAACCATCTATCTCCTATCTACCAACCATCTATCTCCTATCTACCAACCATCTATCTCCTATCTACCAACCATCTATCTCCTATCTACCAACCATCTATCTCCTATCTACCAACCATCTATCTCCTATCTACCAACCATCTATCTCCTATCTACCAACCATCTATCTCCTATCTACCAACCATCTATCTCCTATCTACCAACCATCTATCTCCTATCTACCAACCATCTATCTCCTATCTACCAACCATCTATCTCCTATCTACCAACCATCTATCTCCTATCTACCAACCATCTATCTCCTATCTACCAACCATCTATCTCCTATCTACCAACCATCTATCTCCTATCTACCAACCATCTATCTCCTATCTACCAACCATCTATCTCCTATCTACCAACCATCTATCTCCTATCTACCAACCATCTATCTACCTATCTACCTATCTATCTCTACATATATATACATGTATCCATCCATCCATCCATCCATCCATCTCTTCTGAGGAAGCACAGGCCAGCAGCAATGAAGGCCCAGTACGAAGAAGCCCTGTTATATCTTAGCTGTGTCTACTGAACCCCACAGCTAGAAGGAGGTCCATTCAGTCATGAACACTTGTCGCGACATAAATAAAATAGAGGACTAAGGTAGGCAATGGCACACTTAGATTAATTGCTATAATATATACAAAAAAGAAAACTGCTTCCGCTGAGCTTAAAAAGAGCTTACCTTAAAATCCTTGTTTCCCTGGCTATTAAAATCCTTGCCCCACACCCCTTCGACTATTTAGATGCCCACTCTTTACAGTTTTTGGTTCCAGTGGTCTTAACCTGCATTCCTGACACCCATGGCAACCAGGCATTCCCGGCCTTGTCTCTCAGCAGAAAATCAAAATAAGAACACTGAAGGTCATCAAGTAATGGAAGTTAACTCAAACATCACTCTTACTTTCACGTCTCACCAACCGGCGGGATGGCAAAGCTAAAGGTTGTCAGACGTACATCACAAACACGAGTGGCTAACTGCTACAGAGGCAAATAAATGAAACCAGATTGGGGGACTGATTGACAGACGTCTTCCTTTGTGCCCACTGCATTTGCTTGGGAGCCTTCTGAAAGCTTACCGATGGATCTGAAATACTCGATGGCATTCTGGGCAGGTCCGTGATACAGCATTCTTCCTGCAGCCAGTAAGGTCAAGTTATCAAACAGTCTGAAGATGGAATAGCGAGGTTGGTGGATTGAAAAGATGATTGTTTTTCCCTGCCTGGACATCCTGCACGGAACAGATATCACTCAAATGAATGGATTTAACAATATCACATAATGCACATATAACACACCACAATGCACAAAGGAGGGATTTTCTGAAGAGAACCATTCAAACTCCACAAGAGATAAACAACAGCGCAACACAAACAATGCTATATTTCAGTGACCGCCTTTTTATACCTCCACCTTTCTGCCCTCATCAGGGCCACCAAGGCGTCTAACGGATTAAAAATACATCTTAAAAACCAAACATAAATACGTCATTCAGACAAGTAAAACCAAGTTGAAGAACATATACAATACAATAAAAATTCATTCAAAAAAGCCATTTTAGCTGGCTCATATTGTATCTGGCTCAGGAAAGGAAGGCGGGGTCACTGAAGGAACGCCAGTCAACACAAAAAGGCCTTTACCTGCTGTCAGGGCTCTTTTTGTAGCAGGAACTCATTTGCATATTAGGCCACACCCCCTTAATGTAGCCAATCTGCAAGCTCTTGGAGGATTGGCTACATTAGGGGGGTGTCGCTTAATATGCAAACGAGTACCTGCTACAAAAAGAGCCCTGCCTGCTGTCAGAAGATGACAATAGAAGGGGGACAGGCAGGACACTCTGGTAGGGATGCCAAGCCTCCAGCTGGGACCTGGGGACCCCCTAGAATTACACCTCAGCTCCAGACTACAGAGATCAGCGCCCCTGGAGGAAACGGATGCTTTGGAGGGGGGACTCTCTGGCATTGTTCCCCAGTGAGGTCCCCAGGCTCCATCCCCAGATCTCCGGGAGTTTCCCAACCTGGATCTGGCAACCCTACCCCCATCCCCTGGTGGTGGCCAGGGGGAACCAGGCAACTTTAGGGGAGAGAGTTCCAGAGTTCTGGTGCCATGACTAAGAAGGCCCTCTCTCCCAGGTGGCCACATGCCTAACTCAGAAAGCAGGGGCATCCAAAGCAGGGCCTTGGAAGGTTGGCGTGCATGCATTTAATGTTCCCCACTACTGGATCTTACAATAATTCTGTGGAGAGACAGCTCAGTCACCCAGTGAGCATCACAGCTGAGTGAGGATTTGAACCCAAGACTCCCTAATCCAATCACTGCACTATCCACTACTCCAAACTGGCTAAAAATGGTACTGCCGTTCTTTTTGTTATTGCACACCTTGTTGCTGCTTTATTACACACTAGCAGTAAAGCCCGTTGTGAAAGCAATACAACGAGATCTAGAAAGAGGCTCTGGGGCAGTGCTCTGGCTTTGGGCAAACAGTGTCAATTTGCTGTGGTGACCTCAGCAGGGTATAATGACAGAGTCCACTGTTTTCTCCAGAGGAACTGATCTCTGCTACCTGAAGAGCAGTTGTAATTGTGAGTGATCTGTAGCCCTCACCTGGAGATTGGCAGCAATTGTTACCCAGGACAAAATAGCTGGTTTGGAGGGTGGAGTCTATGGCATTCTACCTGTCTGAGGTCCCACCCCTCCGCAAACCCCACCCTCTCCAGGCTCCACCCCTCAAATCCCCAGGAATTTGTCAGCATGTAGTTGGCAACCCCATCTCCTTCCCAGCTAACCATCAACCTACCATTATCTGCCCCTTTGACTTCAGCTGACTTCTGCCCTCCCTTCTGCAGAGCAGTTGTAATACTGAGTGCTCTCCAGCCCTCACCTGGAGATTGGCAACAATGGTTCCCTATGTGAGACTGACTGGTTTGGAGGGTGGAGTCTATGGCAGTGTACCTGTCTGAGGTCCCACCCCTCCTCAAACCTCACCCTCTTCAGGCTCCATCCCTCAAGTCTCCAGGAATTTCCCATCTGGAGTTGGCAACCCTATCAGGACTGGCCCCAATGTGTTTTCTCCCAAAGGCCAAAGTAGGTGACAGGACCAAGCTTAGTTGCCTACCAACAGGCACTGAGGGGAATGTAGGGTTGCCAGCTCTAAGGAGGGAAATACCTGGAGGTTTGGGGGGTGGATTCTGTAGAGGGCCGGGCGACGGAGGCATCGGCCTTCTGTCGCCCGCCTTGCCCCCCCAATCTCGGCCCGGGCACCCGCGGCTCCCACCAGCGGCCGCCCGACTCCAGACTCCCCCGCGGCCACTCCAGCCAGGCGACGGAGGCATCGGCAGTCTTAAGTTTTACATCCCCCCCCCACAGCCTCTGCCTAGGGAAAGGGCAGTCTTTCCCTGCAGTGGGAACCAAAGCAGCTGACATCTTTCTCCTCTCCCCCGTATGATCCACACAACTACCCTATGAGGTATGTTATGGTTGAAAGTGTGTGAATGGTCCATAGTCCCCCAGGCAGCTTTTAAAACATGAACCTGGGACCTGCACACCATCTGTGGCAGTAATGGGGTGACTGCTGGCACCTTTTCCTATCATTTTTTGCCTTGAGGTATTCTGCTTGTGGTGTGATCTGTCTTCTTTGTGGTGTGGCGTGATTGTGTTATTGGGTTTGTTTCTTTTAAAGGGGAAGTGATGTGTTGTGAGTAAGGACATATGTTATCTCAGAATACAGTAGTTCCCATATGCAAATGAAAATTCCAACTGCCTTGCGGGGGGGGGGAGTTTGAGGTGTGGAATGGAGTGAAGTCCAATCAGCTTCCATATGCAAAAGACCTTGAAACGCTGGGCGGGACTGCACAAAGCAGCCAGTCAACCCAGCCAGTGTCTTATGAGTGGCAGTTCTTCCGGCCAAACACTAAAGGCGGGCATTTTAGAACGTTGGTCCCCACTACTGCTTTATTATAAGGGAGAGATAACCAGCCAAAGACGATGTACCAGTGCCTAGTTATTACCTCTTCAAGAGCAGCAGAACAGCATTGGCTGTGCTGGCATCCAGCCCAGTGGTTGGTTCATCCAAGAACAAGACTGCAGGGTCGGTGATGAGTTCCATCCCAATATTGGTCCTTTTCCTCTCTCCCCCTGATATGCCACGGATGAACTGGGTTCCAACCTAATGCGAAACAAGAATAGGCATCAAATTTTCTGAGCCCATTTGGAAAATGGATACATTCTTATGGTTTTCTCCCACCCAGCAGTGGAAGACAATAGAGAAACTGACTTTGTTCTACTATTATTTATGGAACAGGGTTGTTGTTTTTTACTCATTAGGCTCTTTAATGAATGGATTAAAAGAACATTGGGTTGGAGCCAATAACTCTCTTCCACTAAATTCTTTTCTGAGGAAGGAAACCTCAGGGCTCCAACAAATGAGACAAATGTCACATTCACAGAATTCAAATCACAATCTCGTGCAGTCTCAATTTGCCGAGGTGGGGGGTGGGGAGATGAAGTCAAGGGAGAAGAAGGTGGACCAAGATAAGCGATCTGAACCTCATTGCTCTTGGCTTTGCGCAAGAAAGTCAATGTGAGGTTGGTCATTACCATTCTTGTAAGAGAGCTGAGGCTGGAAAGCAGCAATTTACTTATCAATGATATTTCTATAATGCCTTTCTGCTAAAAAAAAAATACACAGAGCCTTGAACACCAAGTAAAAGGGTCCTAACTATGGATGGGCGCAGACCAAGAAACGAACCGTGGTTCTAGTATGAACTGGGCTGGTTTGTGGTTCATTTTGAACTAGTTCATTTGGTCGTGTCCTTCCCAAACCCATGAATGAACTGCCTTTTTCCCATGGAGGTACATTAGAGTGGTTTGTTCTCCAGACAGCCTGGTGCCGATTCAGTCAATTTCTAGGCAACGCTGGGAGTGGACTTGTGGAGAGCCCTAAAAAGATCCATAGTAGTTGTCCATCGCTTGATTGGCAGCTCTGGGAGATTGCATATATGCCACCCTTAAGTCAGGTGCTCTCACTTTGCAGCAGGAAGAGCAGTTAGTCCATCCACGTGAGAGAGACTAGTCCAATTGCTTCCTGCATGGCTGGTTTTAGGGGAGGCTATGAGGGACTCTTTTCCCCACACACACAGTGGGACAAGCTTTAAAACACCTCTCCTGGCTGGGAAGGTGTTCCTTGCTGTGGTTTCAGGGACCTGAGCCACACACTTTCTCTCCCTGCCGTGGCCGGGGGGGGGGGGTGGGGGCAAGCTCTTTTCTTTCTTTATTTGCTGGGGCAGTCTCCTGCCTTTACTCTTATTTATCTAAAAACAACACCTCTTGCTTAGGACAGGGGACTAAGCTACACCCTGCCTCTCCCTGCCATTGCCAGGGGTGGGGGGCAAGCTATTTTTGTTTATTATTGCCGGGGTTGCCTTTATTTTATTTATCAAAAGCAAACCTACAAATAACAAACAACACCTCTGGCTCACAGGACGACAGGAGGGACTGAGCCCGAGTAGCCTCTCTCCGCCACTGCCCGGGGATGGGCAAGTGATCTTTCTTTATTATTTGCTGGGGTTGCCTTTATTTTTAGTTCTCACCTCTGGCTCCAGACAGGAGGGACTGAGCCCCAGTAGCCTTTGGATGATCTCCCCCCCCCAAAAAAAAATTGGTAATCTGCACACAACCTGCAGGGCAGGTGGAGGGGCACCCCAGGGAAGTCCTCCATGAGTTGGATGCCTCTAGCTTGCACGGGGGCAGCTCGACACACTCCTGGGAGAGCACTTTCCTGAGGGCACCTGCTTCGGAGGGCTGTAACGCGGCGCCCCCTAAATCAAATTCTCACCAAATTTGGAGAGCAGGTAGAATCAGCTGGAGACTTACTGTGAGCTTGGCCTCTCTAGCCCACTCCGTTCTACCACCTCCTGAACTCACAAACCTAACGGACCACAAACCAGTTCGGGAAACAGAAAAGTTCATGAAGTTCATGGTTCATTTTAGAAGAAGAAGAGATTGGATTTATATTTCACTACCCAAGGGAGTCTCAGAGCAGCTTACAAACTCCTTCCCCTTCCCCTCCCCACAACAGACACCCTATGAGGTAGGTGGGGCGGAGAGAGCTCTGACAGAAACGGCTCTTTTTCAAGAACAGCTCTTATCAGAACTACGGCTTGCCCAAGGTCATCCAGCCAGGTGCAAGTGGAGGAGTGGGGAATCAAACCTGGTTCTCCCAGATTAGAGTCCGCGCACGTAACCACTACACCGAATGAAACACGAACCCCAACGAACCACCGTTTTCCTGGCTTGTGCCCATCCCTAGTCCGAAAAGCATCTTCTCATTTTCACTCAACTAGAACCTGAAAAAATACGACGAATGGCTTGAGCCACCCATGATTCCTCCCATGTCCTGTCCCTTCAGCATCAGTGTTATTAGTGTGCAAGACACTCCCTCCATGAAAAAAGTACTAGCTTTCAATTGATTTTTACGGCCCATCATCTTACACTGTCCCTCATCCTGGCCACAGTGCAGGAGCAGCAAAACACTCAGAACTTTCCTTTTTACACATTTTTTTTAAAAAAATCAGTGCACATGCCTACCTATCCATCAGCTATTCCATCAGTAGAAATCTTCTTTGATTGCTTTGGGTGTTTGTATATTTTGGGCACAATGTTTGCTGTTTCTCTGTACATCAAGGTTTCTGCCCTTTTCTCAGAGTCTTTTTTTTTTTTTGCACTATCCCAGAAACTCTAGGCATCAACTGCCTGAGGCATTACGGACACTTTGCTCTTAACTGTATGAAGATGTTTTGGTTATTCATCCATGAATGTAACTTGGAAGTAACTAATGAGCAGGGCTATTTTTGGGCAGGAACGCACAGGAACGGAGTTCCGGCTAGCTCCCGAGTTGGCCACGCCCAGAAGGAACTCATTAGCATAATAGGCCACACCCAACTGCAGGAACTCATTAGGATTGGCTACATTAGGGGATGTGGCCTAACATGCAAAGGAGTTCCTGCTACAAAAAAAGGCCCTGGGTTTTGACCACAAACAAGGTAAACAGAATAACAAGCAAAAGGTGGATGTGGCTGGATAACCACACTTCTGGTAACATGGGGGTGCGGCATAATGTGCTAATGAGCTGTGCTGGCAGGGGTGTGGCCTAATATGCTAATGAGTTTCTGGTGTTGGGTGTGGCCTATTATGCTAATGAGAAATGAATCACTAGACTGGGGGGGAGTCTCTCATTCTTAGCAATACACAGCCTGGGAAAAGGTAGTCTGGTTAAAATGTGACGCTTACTGTCTCTAAAAGTATGCAGGTGACACTTGACAATAAGCTGGTACCTTTGAATCTGCCACTTTCATCAAGCCCAGTTCTCCGAGGATCTGATCAATCCTCGCCTCCTTTTCATGAGTGCTCACAGTCTTTGGAAGTCGGAGGGCTGCTGAGAACTGAAAGTTCTCTCTCACAGTCAGCGTTCCCATCACTACATCATCCTGCTCAAAAGAATAAAACATTAGGTTACTTCCAGATATGTGGCTTAAACCAGCAACTCCAATGCGTACACAAGGACTCCAGAGCATACATGGAGTTCCATACAAACATACCTGACAAGGTTAGAAAAATGAATGGGGCTGTGGGGCCAACCACTATAAGCACAAGTAAAGCAACATTTGGATCAAGAAAACCCATCACTAGTTTCTGTGAATGGTAAAATAAGAAATACAGAGACAATAAAAGTAACTTCAGTGGTCTTAGAAACTCTGCTTAGGATTGCACTGGAAGTGACTTACCTGTACCACATACCCAGAGATGCATTTAAAATTGGCAGGCTGAGGAGCTCCATTGATTAGAACATTTCCATTCAACCCATGAGGATCTTTCCTCGCAGCTAAAATATCTAGTAGCCTAGAAGAACAGTTAAAGACGCATCACACAGTATTTTTTGTTATTGCGCCACATGGCATTTATTGTTACTGCACATAACATTTATAATTTTGTTATTGCTTCATAACATTTATAATTGCAGAAAGATACCCATGCACAGTGTTCATAAAGAACAATTGCACAGAGCTGTAGTATTCATTCAGTGTGGAACACAGCTACAATATGCTGTAGGTCCAGAGGTCATTTCGGGGGGGATCGCGGGGGATCGCAGTTCCCCCGGGTGAGGTACGGGGGGGGGGCCACTGACAAAGAACATGACAAAGCCCCACCCCCTGCTTCTGGCTGCCCCGCTTCCGGCCCTCCTTCAGCCAGGAGGAGGCAGGAGAAGAGGGAGGGTAAGTTGCTTCCTCCCTGCCTCTCCCCACCCCTGCCTGCCTGGGGCCAGGGAAGGCCTTCGCGGGGCTTCCTTGCATTCCCGCCGGCCTTGCAGGTCTACCGCCAGGCCCCTCATGGGGCTCAGCAGTGGAGCTGCAAGGCCGGCGGCAGTGGCCGGGACCGTTGGGGGCGGGGGGTGTGGCCTTATGACACACTTCCAGTGATGTCAGGGGGTGTGGCATATGCTAATGAGTTATGCTAATGAGTTCCCTTATCTCTTTTTCTACGAAACGACCCCTGTGTAGGTCATACAATCAGGTTCATGATATGCACCACAGGGCTCAGCTGGAAGATTCTGCATGAGTTCCTCTCTCACTGGCCCAGCCCAAGAGCTACTCAGAGGAGGAAAGTGTAGATCCTTCAAGCCACAAAACAAAAACCACTGGCAGAGTCATATGACCAGGAGGAACCAATCAGCTTCCACTTCCTGCTTTGTAAACTCTTCTCTCTTTCCGTGTGGGTGATACCAATAGGGAAAGGCACCTGGATGCTGCATATTCTCTAATACTCTGTCTACCTAAGACCACATCAATAAACACATGAGCCACTGCTCAGCCAAAATCACAGAAAAGCTCAGCCGAGAACAGAACTACCAAAATTACAGAAAAAGTTTTTTTAAAAAACCCTGATCCTAAACATTTTGATGATCAGTCTCTCAGTCTAATCCACTTTACAGGGTTGTTGTGAGGACAGAGTTGCAGAAATCTATGTATGCTGCTCTGATGTCCTTGGAGGAAGGGCTGAATGGTTACATAAGAGGTAGAGTGATTGTTTCAGTACTTACGAAGATTTTCCACTGCCTGTTGGTCCAAGAATTGCGTTCAGTCCTGGCCTCATTATCCCACTGTAAAGCAAAGCCCAGCATATTTCTCATCCATTACTTCCATTAAATTACCTCCATTAACCATCACTGCTTGCTAACACAAATGTGCAACGACAACAGATTGACACTTCCCCTTTTTTCTTTAGTACACCATAACCTATAAGGAATTGTGACTGTCAAGCAGCAGTGGAGCCCAGCTGGACAAATAGTCTGTCACTTGACACCAGCTGTTGCCAAATAAAATGCTTTGTTTGAAACGACTGACAATAACTTGCAGAAGCCGTGCTTGTATTGCAACGAACAAAAGGCAAGTCAAAGGTTGCAACTAGATATTGCAAATCCACTATCAGATCTCCCAACATACATCTGAAAGTCAAACAACAGTCATGAACATGCATGAAGCAATTGCTTCATGCCGCTGGTCAGTCAAAGCTGGTATTTATTTACTCATTTATTTTTTAAAAAAATATACCCCACCTTTCTGTCCTTATAAGGGCTACCAAGAAGGGCTAACAAATGAAAATGTTGGTCCTTTCCGCACTAGACCTTAAATCCTGGTTCAACCCTGTCCCCAAACTTACATTCTACACTACACCCGAGTTCACCCCTGTAATTATGTCAGGGTATTTTTTGTTTCCACATTACATTGAAGTCACCCCGGTTTCTCCCCAAACTTGTCCCGGGATAAACGGATGCTGTTATAACCAGGGATAAACGCAAGGTACTTTGTGTTGCGAGTTGAACTCTGACAAAACCAGGGATGAGATCCAAATGCAGAAAGGACCGTTGTTTAGCAGTTTGCTTTTTGTGACATCTGCACATATGGAACAACACTGGTTAAATTCCTTTGAGATGGTTACCCAAAATATATGTTTTGTTTTTTACTAGGCATGGTTTTCCTGCAAACTTGTGGGTTCCATGGGAATTGCAGAACCATAACGAATTGTTGTGGCTGGCCCCATTGCATGGGATTCATTATTATTCACAATGGGGGCCAGCCCTGCACTGGTAGAGCAAGAAATTAAACATGGGCCTCATATACCCAGCCGCTGAGTCGATTTCCTTCCAGCCGCACTTTGCAGAGGCAGATCGGTAACAGTTAGGGTTGCCAGGTCTGGGTTGGAAAATACCTGGAGAATTTGAGGGTGTGTCCAGGAGAGGGCGGGTTTTGGGGAGGGGAGGGGCCTCAGCACGGTACAATGCCATAGAGTCCACCCTTCAAATCAGCCATTTGTGTGGCTATTAGCCACAAGGTATAGATAGGGACTCTGGGGCAAGTGATGCTCTGTCCTCTTGGTGCTTGGGGGGGGGGTCAACAGTGGGAGGGCTTCTAATGTCCTGGCCCCACTGGTGGACCTCCTGATGGCACCTGGTATTTTTGGCCACTGTTTTGGACTGGGTGGGCCTTTGGCCTGATCCAACATTGGCGTCTCTTATGTTCTTATTTTCTCCAGGGGAGCTGATCTCTGTCAGTTGGAGACCAGTTGTAAAAGCGAGAGATCCCCAGGCCCCACCTGGAGGTTGGCAACCCCAGAAACAGTGGGCAAGCTGTCCACAAGGGACGGCTGTCTCCATTACTGACCTTCTCGCTTACCAATTCCTGCTAAACCTCAAAGGAACCCCAGGACTTCTCCAGAACATAGAAGCCATCAGATAACATTATTTGAAAGCATTTAACTGGAAAGGTGATCTTTCCCATTTGAAATCTATCAAGCCTGAATAGGGCAACACAGAATTTGTGCATATTTTTTTAAAGTATTTTTTTTTAAATGAAGGAAATAAGGAGGCAATGGCCAATCTTAAAATATAGCAGGAGATCAAACTACAGTTTACTGAGTTATATTGCTTTGGGCCGAAAAGGTAACAGCTGTGGATTAGCAGATGCTTCCTGAAATGTGGACATTAATTTCATTGCGTACCCGGTCAGTAATTACTGCTTTCCTATCACTTCCGTTTCTCAAAATATAAGTTGTCCCTAATGTTACAAGGCGTGGCTCTGTTACCTTTTGCACCCAAAGCAATATAACACAGTTAATTATTTATAGGCCTCTTACAAATGGTGGCCAATGGTCATATGATACGGAACATCTAAGACCCAGCCATAAAGAAAAACAAAACACCCTGGGCTGAGACCCAAAGAAGCAGCACACAAGCCAAAGAGGGAAAATATGTCTAGACATTGGGAGTTTTTCTTGTACTCGTTGGGGGCCCTCTACCACCAGGTTTTCTAAGTACTGAAAAGACAAGATGCTTGTTAAAATCGGTCAGTGCCTTTTCTCTTCTTTTTAATGATGTAAAACAATAGGTAGTTTACTGTAGCTAACATATGGGACCCACCGCAATTTATTTTGACAGCAATGTAACATCAGGCACAAGATTCCCTGACCGATTCCGCAAAAGCAGTTGGTCCGCCCTCAGTCTCCCATTTCCCTCGGTCGTACGGCTCAATTTCCCACTATTTGCTGCACAGTCGCATTTTGACCTGCATCTCACCCCGATTTTCCCCGCGTCTATTTGATCCTTATTTTTCAGGATAAAGAAGATGTGGGGGAAATCAGGGGGGGGGATGCGGGTCAAAATGCGACCACACAGCAAATAGTGGGGAATTGAGCCGTACAACTCAGGGAAACAAGGGCGGAACAACTGCTTTGTGGAATCAGTCCCTATGTGCGCAATGTAAGCAGCGATGTTTACTGAGCCATGGTTTCTTGCATTATAGAACAACCCTGTGTATCGAGGGGACTGAGGGCTGAACTAGACAAAATGTGAAAGATTCTGGATTCTTGAAAAATCACATGCAAAATCCCAAATAGCCAGTTAGCAGCACCAGAAGGCTGCACTGAAGACCACAGAAGAGTCACTGGGGGAATAAGCAGTTTAATGCTCTCCTTTTGTGCTTGTTCCACAATTTAAATAACTCCTTGTAAACAGGGCTTTTCTTTTTTCTTTTCTTTTTTAAACAAAGGTGCCAGAACTCTCAAGAGGGAAGTGAAATTTTCAGTCTATATACTGAAATCTCATAAACTTTTAAACATTTTAAAAATAATTTTGTCGAAGAGGTTCCGGAACTCTGTTTTGGTGCATTTAGCCAGAAAAAAGGCCCTGCTTGTAAAGCTGCAATTGCCCTGACCCAGATAGCCCATGCGAACCTGATCTTGTCAGATCTCAGAAGCTAAGCAGGGTCAGCCCTGTTTAATATTTGGATGGGAGACCAGCTACCAAGGGAGTCCAGGATCCTGAGGCAGGTAATGGCAAACAAGCTCTGAACATCTCTTGGCTTGAAAACCCCACAGGGTCACCATATGTTAGCTGTGACGACAGCAATAATAATAATTTTAAAAGGCTGCAATTAGCTCCATGAATGGGGAAAAGATAGGCCCTGGCACTTGTATCTGTCTTTTCCCCAGGGCAGAGATGCTTTTGCAGTTTTGGAGCCAAAAGTCATTAAATAGCTCAGATAAGTGATAATTCTACATTTCTAACAATTATATTTGTTTTTAATCACCAGAAACCACTTGGCAGTTTAAATTGAGAACATGGTAGGCGTATAAATACATTTAAAACAAATATTCTTTCTGTTCACTCCAGTCTGCAATATGGGTTGTTACAAGGCTGTTGTAAGGATTACTGAGTAGACATCTGTAAAGAAGCACTTAATGCCCCACTACAAATGCTAAGAACCATCAAGAAAAGGAGTACGATATCCATTTTAAGAAATACATACTTGATATCTCTCAAAATATCTTTGTCAACTGTTTTTCGACAGCACACAAAGCCACTCTTGGTCTTCACTGTGTAGCAGATGTTGTGGAAAGTCACAACCGTGGCTCTTGACACATCTTGGGACGACCGCTTCCTGCTCGGGACACCGTTTGTATTGGCCTCCGACATCGGGATGCTGATTTGTGCCTTGTGAGCCATCGCTGAGGCTCTTCTTTATCCCTGGGAATCACAAAGTCATCGATATATATATATATGCAAAAAACCCCACAAAATTCACAGAATCCCTCAGTACCTGGGACAAATGGTGCAAGAGACGTTCCGAGGAGTGTTACCATTACTGCAAATCAAAATGCTGAGCACGCAATCCTGCCTTGTACAGAGGGCCACAGCAAGAATTTCTTACTTCAGGGGGCATTTAAATAAGTTGGGAGACACTGTGTCAGGAGCGACGAGAGAGTGAAAGTTTTTAAAAAGCGATGAGAGAGAAAGAGGGCTGGAGGAGGGAGCAGATGTGCCCTGCGGCGTGCCTCTCCCGCAGCCAGCCGGAGGTACACGGCCAGCAGGCAGGGCAGGGCAATGGCTCGGGTTGGCACAGATGTGGCACGCGTGAAAAACAAAATAAACCAGCTGGATTGGAAGTTGGGAGGCCTGGGTGATAAGTCGGGGGGGCCAGCCCCGAGATGCCCCACTGTAGCTATGGGCCTGCTTGTACTACATCAGTCCTTTGATTTATTAGGGTCAGCACTGTCTACCCTGTAGCATCCCTAATAGCCCAAACTAGCCTAATCTTGTCCGAGCCTGGAAGCTAAGCACGGTTGACCACGGTCAGTACTTGAATGGGAAACCGCCAAGGAAAACAGGGGCTGCCAGGTGGATGAAGGCAATCGCAAACCACCTCTGCTCATCTCTTGCCTTAAAAACTGCCATGAGTGGGCCGTGACTTAAAGATACACTTTATTGTCTACTCCGAGTGGCAGGCAGAGGACTCAAAATATCTTCATCTGGCCGCCAGAAAACTCTCACATCACCTATCCCCAATCCTTTAGTGCTGGGAATCAAACCTGGGATCTGCACAGAAAGCGGACAGTGAGCCACGGCCATTCCCCAGCCTCAAAAAATAATATAGGGGAGTGGGAAATTACCTCTTGCCGTGGTTCTTCTCCTCCTGCGGAACACACTCAATGCAAGACAACTGGGATACCTCGTACATCTTTCTCCCTTCCCCAGATAGACTAGCGATGTGGAAGGAACACATTATTTTGCGCTAAAAGAACTGCAACCGAACACTAAGATCTTGCAACAGTTATTGGATTATCACAAAGAAACTGCTACTGTTATCGTGTCTATTAACGAGATAAAGTGAAGCTGGTATCGAATTGCACCTTCAATCTTCTAGGAAGGTGAAGGGGGAAATGAGATGTGTGCCCTTTTCTCGGCACCAGACAGCCACACACCCTGGGCCCACTGAAGCCAGCAAAGCATTCTTCATGGAATGCTGATAAAGAGGCTTCAAGATCACGGGCTTAGAGATCTTTTCCCCACCATCCCTTTTTTTTTAAAATCCAGCTTGGCAGAAGAGTTCTGGGGAACTCGAAAGCTTGCTTTGGCACAACATGTTCCAGACCTAAATCAGGCCCCCGCACACTTTTAAATGGAGCTCCCACCAGTAACTCACAGCTATAACATGGCTACAAGTCACCATGGCAGAGTCACATACTTTTAAACGTCTAGTTCGACCCTAAGTAGATCTCAGGTCACGGAGGGCTATGGAGGTTTCAAGAACCAAGACCACAAACTGAATTCAGTAGCAAATCTATGAAGGTCACTGTTAGAAGAACCAATTTTCTCCTTTCTAATTGCTTCTCTAACAAGCTCGAGATACTTTTCTACCTGCATGACAAAAGTAAGGGCAGGTCAGTTTTGCGTATTATTTCTGAGTGGAGATGATACAGAGACGTTTTGTTTTGATAGTTAAGGAAAAACCAAGAATATTTCATTCCCTCCTGCCCGCTTTTCCATTTTAGTTTCTTGTTATTCCAAAATCTGTACTAACTAAGCATGCATCAGGTGTTCTACAGTCAGGGAAAGGAATGATGGAGGTGTAGGGGCAAAATTAAAAAAGCAAAACTTCAATATTTAATAACAATATGATAAAACCCAGAAGCCATAGTGTGGGCTGTCCTCTCCTCAGGTTGATCTGCCCTTTTGGCTGTAACAGGGGCTTCTAATGTGGTGGATGGAGGTGTAGGGGCAAAATTAAAAAAAGCAAAACTTCAATATTTAGTAACAATATGATTAAACCCAGAAGCCATAGTGTGGGGCTGTCCTCTCCTCAGGTTGATCTGCCTTTCTGGCTGTAACAGGGGCTTCTAATGGGGCGGTGGCTGCAGATATTTTCTTGGGGAAGGGAGTTTTAATTGGAATTGTATTGCACTTTGTATGCTTTCAAATTTGGAAAAATAAGTCACCTTGAGTCACAAGGGAAATGCAGGGTATAAGTAGTTTAATAAATTATTACCTTCAAACCCACCCCCCTCAATTTTGTTTGCCAGCGCACCTTCACAGATAGAGATTGCATTTCATTCAACAAAGATTGCCTTTCATTCAACACGCAGGTCAAAACAGCTTGCCTACCCCTCATCTAATCAATTAGATTGGTTGTAATGGAGTTTACAATGTGGGAACCAATATAGTGTAGTGGTTAGTAGTGCCAGATTAGGAACTGGGAGACCCAGGTTCGAATCACCACTCTGCCACAGAAACTTGCTCTGGGACCTTGGGCCAGGCATACACTCCCAGCCTAGCTTAACTCACAGGGTTGTTGTGAGGATAAAATGGAGAAGAGAATGATGTAAGCCACTTTGGGGGGAAAATGAGGTATAAATCAAGCAAATAACGTCCCAAACATGCAAAATCCAGTTTAAGTGTCACTAGTGAAAGTGAGCTAAATCTACCTTTCAACAGACTTAACAGTTTTGGTAAAGATTTGTAGGCAACAGTTCTCAAAATGTGGAAGGAGTAAGAGAAATGGGATGAGCGGGGAGATGATATTCTGGGGGAGACTCAATGACACATTTGGGTCTGCTTCTGCACAATGTGAAATATAGCCATGAAAAACAGCCTGTTTCTCAATGGCATATATTTATAAATAATGAAGTTGTTCATTGTTAATTTATATGAGATTCTTGAATTTTATGTTGGGGAGGGGAAAGTAGTATGGAGACAGTTTGCAAGCAGATCCCCAAAAGTAAAGCAAGTTTAGAAATGGGTCCTGGGTCACAAAGTTTGAGGATCACTATTTAAGGCATTTGCATTACATGCACAAAAATCACAAATGCAGGAAATTGAGTTATTTCTTTCCAAATATAAAGGCATTTTTTGTCCACAGTATACCAGCCATACTTTCGCCAGATGTCAGCCTTGAAATTACTTTGGAGGAAAGTCACCAGTTCTGTTGTAGTTAGCTGTCTTCCTCATGACATTTTCAGTAGTAAAAAGCCAATTGCCCTTAAATTGCGTTGAAACCAGTGGGACTTCGGGATTCAGCGAAGTTCCTTTGTTTTCACTGGAACTAGAGCATGGCCGATGTTCAGTGGCTGTATCAGTGCCAGACAGACTTGGACCACCAAACCTTATCTCTGCACAGTCTTAACCCAATGACACAAATGTATATATATCTCTTAATTTAAGTCATACCATTGCTCCCTCCCTCGCTAACCATGCATATTTTACAAACTGGCCGCAAGCGTTCAATTGTTCAGCAAGTCATGTTCTCATTTGAAAACTCCCTTTTAATTAAAATATATGTGCAAAGAGTGACGGGTCACAACAGCCACTTAGACTGTCTTCCTCTGTATCCATTAAGAACAGCGGTAGAATCTGATTATGCAGTTAAAACTGTTAACTAGAGTACTTTGGATCTCTTTTACCTCTTCATCCATACAAGGAAGTAACCCAGAAGGACAGAACTACCCAGCAAAAACACAACAAACCCCAAATTCCCAGCAGCCCGTTTTGGACTTACCCTTTTAGCGTACTTAGAGGCAGCAACAGGATAGAAGAGTACACCGGAAGCAAAACTGGAGCCAGCTGAAGAGGGACCTAACGGTGAAGCTGCAGTTGCTGACTTTGGGACACCATGCAAAAAGGCACAGATTCCCCAACACCAACACCTGACTGGGTCAACCAAAGGGACAATTTCAGCACCATTTCCCCAACACCAACACCTGACTGGGTCATCCAAAGGGACAATTTCAGCACTTTCAACAATTTCAAGAGTTAATCCAAGAGAAGACAGCAGACAAGTCTCCTGGCAGGGCCTTGTAAAGGAGACTGTTCAGCCCTCCCTTTTCCAGCTGCAATTAAGGGAGGGTGAAAGGTCTCCTTTAGGGAGGGGCAAGCACAGAGGCTGACTTTCTCTTGGCCTCATTGTGATATAGCTTATATAAATGGCAGTGCTGCGAGAGCCATTCCATAGGTGCAGCAGCTCACCAGTGTTCAGAACTGGACCTAGTTCTGTCTTGAGCCAGAGATAGATTTGTTGCATAATGAACATGCTCTGTTAGGGAATAGCTATCTGCCCCTAGCTCAGGAGCATGGCTTAGTCTCCCACACTAGCCAGAGAAGGTCATGGAGCAGCCAGATCATGAGATGAGAATCCAGAGCACTTGTTGTAGGATCAGGATCAGAGGCAATGGCCATCTAGATGCCACATTTCGCCTAAACTGCAGTTTCCGGCATATCTTCAAGGGCCACCCATAAAGAAAATGGGATGATAGTCCAACCTGAAGGTTACAGAAGCACGAGTCAACACTGCTAGGTCAGCCCAAGAGGGAAAAATAAAATAAAGGTGGTAATAGGGACCCCTAGTGATAATTACAATCTGTTTTTTAAGGAGCAGAAATGGGCCAAGGAATAAATACAAAAGTTTGCCAACTAGGAAGTTCTGCAGAACAACTGGTATGGCTACTGTGCCCATGTAGTCCAGAGAACCAGAGAGCAACAAAATCCAGCGAATGAGAACTTTAGTAAATTATAGTTATTCAGAGAAGTAGGGATTCCGTTATTACGGTTGGGGTTAGGGGTTTGTCTTTCTCTCCCCCTCTATCCTGAGGCTGTGGGACGAGCTAGCTTCCATCCGCTACTCACCAGGGACCAAGACAGGCCAATAGCTACAGAGGGGCTTCCTGGGGGCCTCC